GTGAAATTTGGTCTCTGGCAAAAGCAAGCCGCTTGAATTTGGCGGAGGCTGAGCCAAATTTAAGGAACTTTATCCCATTAGGAAGAACACTGGAGCTGGAATGAATTTTTTTTGAAGTATTTTCACCGCTCATAAGCGTCTTCTGAGATGTTGAGATTTCAATTGAAGCTAAAGCCTTCAACTTACTTTCATTAGATTGCTCGATCTCATCTTTAAGGCTCCCGTTATCAATTGAAACCATTCTAATGTGAAGTTTGAGCTTTCTCCGTCAGAACCAGAAGGTCCAAAACTATGTCAATCCTGAAAGGGAAAAGAGAACTCCCACATCTAGTATTCTAATTCATAAAAGAAATCGCAAGAGTTCATCACAATGAGGATAAGAGGAACATTGACGCAGTACAACGGAAACAAGGAAGATGCCCGAGCAAGTTAGAAACTCAAACATAGACTTCATCAACAGATGATGAACCAGCAAACATTAAACAGAGTATTTTATCGAAGTTCACAATTCCAGGCTAGGGATTGGAAGCTAACTCCAAGCCCAGAATCTGATCATAGTATTCCCGATAGCCACATCTCATAGGTTAGTTTCAAGAAACCAAGTTGAAAGGAAAAACACCCACAATTTTCAATATCCCTACAACTACAATGAGACCGCCCATCAAAAGGAAAACCCAGAACCATAAATTGAAAGTTTTCAAGGCACGGGATAATAAAAAGATCTAACAAATTTATGAAGATGCATAAGTTCGCAAAAACTCATAAAGAAAAAGAAGAAAGCTCTGATAGAAGAAGAATAATAAAGCCCGGACGTACCTATAAACCGACCCAATACTCAGCATACGAAGGAAGGCATTAATTCCAGAAGCTGTAATTGATCAGATTCAGATGACAATATCATCCCAGGTCTCAAAATTGAAGAATTGGTTTAGGAAAGTGGACCCAAACAACTTCCCAGGTCCCAACAGGTCCCAAGATAAAAAATTAGGAATAAGCCGAAAAAGAAAGAGTTCTCTTACAAGAAATAACAGAGTCAAACCGGACTGGCCGGTTGCTGTCCCAACGACAAATGAGACTGTTGGTGCCACTTGCCGAGAGGAAGGATCAAAGCATAGGATTTTTCTTCCAGGTGGGGCAACGGAAAGTATTAAAATAAAACGTTACAGTGATTATTAAATCGGAAGGACCTTTTACTTGGTCACCTGTTGTTAACTTGCTTTAAAAGTTCTCCGGAATATTTGTAGTTAATAAAAGGCTTGAAAAAAATGAAGTCCGAAAGTAAACCAGACTAACTCACACGAAATAAAATTTCCTCCTAAATCAGAGAGGAAGGAAACAATTGTTAAAACGGAATGAATAAACTTCATCTGTTCATCACTACAAAGTTTCAAACAAGTGAACACATCTTCGCTAGAATTTTGGCTATTTCTCCTTAAAAATTTAGACTTTATTCCTAATTATAAGAAGTAGTATAATTTTAACACGAATTGATCCGTGATATCCGTCGTGGATTAAAGCGCCCGGGGGGGGGGGGGAGAAAGAAGTGTGCGGTTGATTTGTGAGAGTTGTTAGGGAGAAAAGGATATAATGCTATTCCAAGAGAAAATTCCTCAGTGAAATACTTGCTTTGCAAGAATTGTAAAGCCCGTGGTGCTGTGTGGGAGCATAGAAAGTGACAGTGATGAAGCAACGCAACAAGTGGATAGTGGCATATGAACTCAATTTGGCTGCGTCGGGTATCACAAGGGTTGCTGGAAAAGTCGCATACGAGTGGATGAATGGAAATCCAAATCCATGTACCGAGAGAGAGTTGCCTCACATCTGTCGGCAGAAATTTCTGTTTGATGCTACTCTCCTCAATCAAATATAAAACTGGATTGGATCCAACCCCTCGCCCCACCTATGCTAGAAGATGACAAAAAATAAAAAACGAAAGAAAGAGAGAAAGGAAAAGGAAAAGGGTAGTGAACATCGTCCTTTCCTGGAGGTATGTGATTTGCAGAGGTGATTCCATTGGCGTGTGTAAGGCTGTCAAGTCGTTTTCGTCATCCAGCAAGGAATAAAGGAAAACATGTCATGAACTATATCATTCATATTATTTTGGATTTAATATAAATATATCGACGGGAAAATATCATACAACCTTGTCTTGTTTAAAGTAGCTGGTGAAAGGAAACAAATGAAACAGAGGAAACTGGTTCATATAGCTTTAACCTAAGCCGTATTTAAAACATTTAATAAACAGCTTTAAAAGAAGAATTTTGGGGAAACATGCGCTAAGTAAATTTCCAGGCTCTCAGTTCTACTTTCTGGAAAAAAGCAATAGCCGCTGAGTGCTTACTCCAGAGTCCCCAGGAAATAGGAAGTTTTATTTCCGTCAGTTCCAATCATAAGCTGGAAATGTCCCTTTTCTTCAGCAACTCTTCCTCAAGTTCTTTGGCTTTTAGTTTTTGCCTTCACCCTCAAAAGAAGCGTATGTGGAGCATCCTCTTATTTGGAGCCGAACAATCCCCAGCCGCTAAGCCTATTTTCTGCTTTGTTCTCTAATTCCTCGGCCCTTGCTAACTAATCCGCCATAGCTATCTGTTACACAAGAAGTAATCGTTCCGTTTATTTCTCAGCTGCCGGCCGTCCAGTCCAGAGCTTTTTGTTTAAAAAGATTCTGCCCACAAATTTCCTGGGCTAAGATGTGTATTTCTAGGGTTAGATCGGCCCGTCCAACCAGAGAAATTGGGTCATAAATATAACTATCCAAGCTTTCTTGGCAATATAGCCCTCTTTGAATTCAAAACAAAAATGATAACCCAGTCATGTATGCATGTTCCAAGAAAAAAAGAGAGTTACATGCCCCTTTTGGGGCAAAACAAAAGGTGTTCCTTTTGATTAAACAATTACAGGCACGTGTGCCTCAAACAGGACGGGCTCCCTGTGCCTGTTAAAAAAAATTACAAGCATGCGGAGTCATACAAAAAAAGAACATGCGGATTGCTGTGATAAGTAAATTATATGTTTGTCATGTCAATGTAAAAGAAAATTGGATGTTTTGATTTCTATTTCTTAATGGAAAAGGATTTTATGACGTGATATAATAAACGCGATTAAAAACTTCAATTTATTATGCAACGCAGGACGATACCATAAATAGGGTGAGTTGGAGAAAAATAGGCGGATACCCTGATCACCTGATGATCCAAACTCCCAAAGTTCCAAACCAAATCCAATCACTTGACCTGAAGAGGGGGGAAATCCCGACTCTTGAAAATGACGCGACCCATATCCAATGAAGATTCGCCCATGTCATGTATTTATCCTCTTTCCATATATAAATATTGTTTCTTTCTTTTCCATGCTAATTTTCGATTTCACCCAAGTATCAGAGATTAATTAATGGTGCATGCAATCTCTCCACCTTTTAATACAGTCAAGGACCAAAATTTGATATATCCTTTATCCAAAGAATGATAAGAATGCGTGACCTCTTCCCCCCCCCCCCCCAAAATACAAGGCACATTTTTTAAGGATAAATGTATAATTTTATTCTTAATATTTTTAGTAGTGTGATTTCAATGCTAATTTTATCTTTAATTTTTTTGTGTACTTTTATTTCTGATATTTGAATGCAATTTTATCTATCAGGATTACACCAAAATAATTAGGGTATAATTACACCCCTACAAGGTCAGGATTATTATTATACATGAGAAATAAAATAAGATTAAAATTATACCCTTACATTATTTTTTGTAATATTGGACGGGGATTCGAAAGGTGAAATAAATTGTTAACAGTTAGATTTGTTTGAAATTTTATTCACACAAACACATTGCCTCCTCTAATTCTTAATACATTAGCTAAATAAAAAATTTAAAAAGATTTTAAAACTAATTAAGTTAGTTATTTATAATAAATATATACTGATTTTCTTAAATTACCACGATTTAATCATGCATGTTAAAATTATACTTAGGTGGAAATACCTTATACTCAATAGGGACATGTTTGAAAATACATTATAAATTTATTAGACAGAGTGAATTGGGACCTTATATTCAGGATCGTTAATTATCTCTTATACTATCTTCAGTATTTAATATAACACCTCATTTGACTTGTACTTTTGATATTAAATATAAGATCCCAATTCACTTTATCTATCATATTTATTTATTTTTTCTCAAAATAGTCATTTTAATAATAGTAATTATAGCCAATAAATTTAATTAATAAAGATATTTTAAGAAAAATAACACCTATTTATTATAAATAGCTAGCTTATCTTATTTTTTTAATCCATCCAAACAGTAAACTAATTTTTATATTTAGGACTGGAGGTAGTATTTAAGATTATACTCCTCCGGTAATTGTTAAGTTGATTTTTGTTCTAAATATAATACTTGTTTTTCATATTTATCAATTTTTTCTAAATTACTTATATGGATATTCTCTCAACTATAATCAAGTAGAAGAGGGAGGGAGGATATTAAGAAAGATGATTATGATATTTTAAGAAAATTATGTAATATTTTTTATAATTAACTAACTAATCTAATTTTTTTAATCTAATCAAATTAATTAAATATTTTTATATTAAAAATCATAGGAGTATATTTAAAACAACCCCACGTGACCAACAAGCTACTAGTTTAGGAGATGTTTGGATAAAAACAAAACCATAATTTTAAAAACACTTTTATGATATACAAAATAAATATGTAAAAAAATTTGTCCCGTTTTATAAAAAAATATTTATGAGAAATATTTTTAGATTTTTGAAAAGTTAAAGAGGTGACAAGTTCAAATTCAAAAATCCACAATCGTTAGGATCGCATCGTCCTCATCATATCGGTAAAAATATCAGTAAAAAAATACTCCTATATAATTTTTCTTTTTATCTCCAGTGGGGGACCCGGTTCAAATCGTACGTTTCATATTTTACACGATGTGCTTCAGAAAATCTATTTTTATTTTTTGTGGTTCAAAACTTCACCGTACGATCAGCGCACAGGCTCGCACAATATATCACTGGCAAATATCCTAGGTGCGCAGAACAGAAGACCGCCGCCGCGTCTTCATCAATAGGAAGATGAAGGTTGAGCCGGACAACACCGGAGATAATGTCCCTCTCCTGGTGGACACGGAGACGTCGCCGGCAGATGCAAATTCACAAGATGCGTCAATACCTGGAGCGGTATTCAACATCTCAACTACCATGATCGGCGCCGGAATCATGTCGATCCCGGCGACGATGAAGGTACTGGGCTTAGTTCCGGGGTTCTTACTGATCGTCTTGGTCGCGCTGGTGACGGAGATCACGGTGGAGTTTATGCTGAGGTACACGGGCTCCGGCAAGTCAACCACGTACGCGGGCATGGTGGGCGAGTCCTACGGCAAACTGGGATCACTGGCCGTGAAAATATGCATCATCATCACCAACCTGGGAGTCCTTATCATATATTTTATCATCCTGGGTGAGTTCGATTCGAATTTTGTAGAGAATATCTATCCATTCTCCGTAGAACTGTCTTCAAATCTGCTTTTAATTTTATGTGATCGGAAGCAAATAGTGCCGTAATATTTGGTGGAAGTGATTTGCGGCACTTCAACATGCTAACTAAGGGGGTTTAACTTTTTATCGGTTTCGACTTGATAGGGTCAAATTGGGTTTTTTGTGTTTTTTTTTTTTTGGGTGACCGAGCATTCTGGTAAAGCCGTAAAGGAATTAAGAAAGTATATAAGCAGTCCATGAAATTCTAACCCGGTAATGCCCGGTAAAACAAACCCCCCCCCTTTTTCTTGGGGGAAAAACTTTTTGCTGTAAGCTGCGGTTTCTTGATTGACTCTGATGCGCTGCGAGGGTTGCATCGGTCAATCTCGGATTATGGTCCATTATGGATGAGGATTGAATATTGGCGGGGTGGGATGCAGCGGGAAGTGTGGAGCGCGTGGCTTTCACTTGTCCTAGTATTAATATTTAGTAATGATTATTATAATTGGTGTTGGCAAAAAATCAAAGATTATTATAGTTGATGAAATATGACTAAAGGGATTGTTGGATGGCAATGGGCAGGAGACGTGCTGTGCGGGAATGCGACCAAAGGAGGAGATCAGGTGCATGTGGGCGTACTGCAAGAATGGCTGGGCATTCACTGGTGGACCTCCCGCCCTTTTGCCCTCCTTCTCCTCTCTCTCTTCCTCCTGCTTCCCCTCGTCCTGCTCCGCCGTGTTGGTCTGTATCTTCTTTCCAACCTTCCCCCATTTACTTCAACATTCTCTCTCTCTCTCTCTCTCTCTTGGTATTTTCCCGAACATTTAGTTATTTGTACTCTATTAACCCTGTTGATTAAAATTCTGTCATAAAATCGTACTTTTTTTTTATAAAAGAAATCAAATGATTTGCGATCCGCCATCTCTTGTACCCGATATATATGGTAGATCATCTTTAAAAGCCATGCAGATTCGCTGAGGTACAGTTCTGGCATATCAATTCTACTGGCGCTGGTGTTCGTGGCCATAAGCTCGTCCATGGCCTTTTACGCGCTTTGGTCCGGCAAGACTCAATCTCTACGAGTTTTCCCTGACTTCTCTCAAGTGTCCGTCCTCGATGTATTCACCACCGTCCCCGTCTTCGTCACAGGCTTCGGATTCCATGCCAACGGTACCTCCTGATTATGATGAACATTGGTTATAAATACACACCCATTGATCTGGACGCATGCAGCAGATTAATGTACATGCGTGGTTTGTTTTGATCAGTTCACCCTATAGGAGCAGAGCTGAGAAAAGCTGGGGATATGAAAGTGGCGGTGCGGGTTTCATTGATAATCTGCGTGGCCGTGTACTTTGCCATTGGGTTCTTCGGATACCTTCTGTTCGGGGACTCCATAATGACGGATATTCTGGTCAACTTTGACCAGGATTCCAACACCTATGCCGGGAGACTGCTGAACGACGTCGTGCGGCTCAGCTACGCCCTCCATCTGGCGCTGGTGTTCCCCATCATGAATCACACCCTGAGGCTGAACATAGACGAGCTCTTGTTCTCCCGCGAGAACACACCCGATCTGGCGTCCGATACCCCTCGGTTCCTGTGCCTTACTCTGGGTTTGCTCGCCTTCACCTACGCGGTGGCCGTCGCTGTTCCCGATATTTGGTATTTCTTTCAGTTCTTGGGCTCCACCACCATCGTTTCCCTCTCCTTCATCGTCCCTCCCGCGATCGTTTTGAGGTGCGCACTCAACTTATTCAGACTTCATAAATTTTATCTGCTTTTATTAACTCGTCGCAATACATTAAGCCTACGAACTCGTCATTTCGCTTTGTTTGTTTAATTTATGGCAGGGATTTGTATGGCATAGCGACGACAAAAGATCGAGTCTTGGCCATTGTGGTGATGATTTTGGCTATCGGAACAAGCGGCGTTGCCATTTGGACCAACTTTTATGGTTGACGAGCACGCCCTTCATATGATTAATTCCATGCCTCTGATCGGAAAAGGGGATTCATATAATTCCACACATACATCTATTGATCAATGTATTTGTCTTTCGAACTTTTTTCACTCGTTACGTGTTGATGTAAATTTTGAGTGAATATATTTAGTTTTTATACAGCATAATAATACACATCAACGCACAGAATAACCCCAGGTCATCATCCGCATTAAACGCAGCCATAAAGGACCTGGATGAATCAGCTCTCGAAGGTATGGGGCCACATAGAAGCCTAATAACTGATTCCATAGGAGGGAAGTAGAGAATATTGCCACTAGGAGTTGTCTAGAATGATACAAGGGAGGTGCGCCAATAGCCCAATGCACGCAGATATCATCATCAATGATTGGGTCGTGTTTTCATCATGCTCATTATATTTAATTATTTAAACAGGAGCATACGCAAGCGCTGATCTCTCCTGATCAATAACCAACGGATGTCACGACACGCCTCGTGTTTTTCATTGAATACATGTAAATGGGATTATGGGACTAGCCTAGAGGGAAAACAATATTGGGTCGAAATCGACGACTCGGATTTAGTTTAATTATAAATAGTTTTATATAAGTCCATATAATATTTTTTTAACATATTTATATTTTATTTCACAAAATTATGATTGAAAAAACTACCATATAATATTCGATAGTTTGCGTGAGTGGATAGAAGTTCAAATGAACACCGCATAATGCCTGACATCACGTGAACGGTGTATTTAATATTCATAATGTGCCAAAAGAAAACCATACTTTATCATTGAATTCTCCTTTTACCAGCATTTTTTTTTTTATAGGACGTGGACATTATAGCGTGTTGAAAGCCGACTTCTTCTGCATTTGCATAAGAGCAACGACTGACGTTTACTGTTAAATTAATTATTAATTATAATAACTGGACTCATCTTTTATAATCGTACCACATCTTTGAAAAAAAAGGAAAAATTGATAAAAAAATGTTGCACACAGCAGATGATATCTTACACTCACGTATCATATTTATATTTGCACAAATTTAAGTCCTTTTAACCAATTAAAATTTCAAACAGGAATTTTTTTTACTAATTTTTCCTTGAAAAATCTTAAAAGAATATCTTCAAAATTTCAAAATCTTAAATAAAGAATGACTAAAAATATGTTATCAATTTGTCATTTGCTTTCTAAATATTGTAAGTTGTTATTAAAAGAATTTTTTTATGAATACACAATTTTATCCTTCATTTATTATTGTGTTGATTTTGTTTATATCAGGTATAATATACATTAAATAGAGTTAAAGTTGAAAATTTTTTAAATTTTAAATGAGATTAATGAAGTTTAGGATTTTTCTTGATTAGTGTGAAATATGTTGGAAGTGATTTATAAATAAAATTAGAGGAGTAAATATGAACAATTTGAAATTTTAAAATTTGAAGGTATTTTTTTGAATTCTCTTTACATCTTTCTTCAATTACTCCTCCAATTCTAAATGTAAGACTCTTATACACACTAGTATAAGGGTATTATATTTAGGATCGGAGGAGTATCTCATTATATTTGCAAATCTATTTCTTAATTATGGTAACTTGCAATATATTTTAATTTGATTATCTCATGGTCTACACGAGCAAAAAATATTAGGTCACGGCATGTAAATAGTTGCTATTTAGTCTTCTGCACTGCAGTCTGCAGGTATTTGCATTTTATGACGTGGCCCGACCTTAGATTTCGATCTTATCCATACCATTATAGTGCCCTTTCTTATTTTGTTGAAAGGTTTAATTTTTCATTAAGCATCGACTAATCCGGGATTCCGATTCAGTCCAAAAATTCAGGATTCCGAGTACCATATTGCCCCTCATTATTATTGCTTTTCGCTGTTCGGTAAACGGTGGTTATTTTCTATTTTAGTATTTTTCTACTTGCGAGGTGCCCAGTTGCCAACTAGCAAAGGCCCATTCTTCCCGTCTGAAGACTCCGTGTAATAAATTTCCATAGTCCCAAGGACAATTCCATTTCCATTTTTCTTTCTCCGGACCGCACGAAATCACTTCTTGCCCAGAAAAGCGCCCAATAAGTTCGCGGCACGCATGGCGCCGGCGGCCGGGGTAAACGTCCCCCTACTGCCGGAAGGGAAGGGAGCTGCCAAACCAGCATCGGTCACCGGCGCTGTGTTCAACGTCGCTACCACCATAGTAGGCGCTGGAATCATGTCCATTCCGGCGACTGTAAAGGTTGTGGGTGTTATTCCGGCTTTCTTAATGATTTTGATAATTGCTATGCTTGCTGAGGTGTCTGTGGATTTTCTATTGCGCTTTACTCATTCCGGTGAGACGACAACATACTCAGGCGTGATGAAGGAGGCATTCGGGCCAGCGGGCGCAGCAGCCACGCAAATTCTTGTCATAATTACCAATTATGGAGCCTTAATTATGTACCTGATTATTATTGGTGAGAATACATTTACAATTATTAATCGTAAGCTGCTCATTTTTTTGGTCCGAATTGGAAGGTGTCGATCTCGGTATTAGTTGCTCAACCCACTTTTAGTGTTTCTTTTTTCCTCCAATTCAGCTAGATGTCAAAGAAAAGAACATTAAGAAGAGCTTAGAGTTCATGCAGACCCCTGAACTTTGCATGTTTCCAGGGTAGACCTGCTACGAAGCCAAAGGTGTGCATGAACTGGTAGCTAAGGTCTATTATCAGCTTCTTTCAGACATGGAGTCAAGAGACCCCAAATCCTATGCCATCACTTTTAGACATGAATTAAAACAAGATCATTAATTGTTTTATCGCTCCTAAAGCTATATAGCATAGATGCTTAGATGTTGAGATTATACAAGCCAATGAATGGGTTCTATAAATTTATACGGATCATTGAATTTGATAATAGAAAAACATAATTCAGAATCTTGACGCCTGAGAATTGTGGAAAGCATTTTGTTAATTTAAATACTAATGTTATTTCTGATAATGAATCATTTCCTTACAATTTTGTGATAACAATTGATCTAATATATGTTTGATTCAAGTTTCGTAGAAGTGTTTGATAATGTGGGTGCTCGGCCATGACAGTTTATTAAGTCTATATCCTCTTATTTTCTGCTTACTATATAGGTAAGTTGCTAACTTGCTATGCATTGGGAATTTGTTGCATACCATGGGTTTAAGGAAATATCCTTTTCCCGGTGTATGAAAATAGATACAATCTATCCTCCTTTCTCATGGGTTTAAGGAAATAAGTCTATTATCCTTTTCCCGGTGTGTGTGTGTGTGTGTGTCTTGATGCAGCTCGCCAAGCTTCAGAGGCAAAATTGTTATCAGATTCAATACATAGTAGTCATGGCTAACTTTGAAATGCAAATTTTAGCTTTTTCCTCCAAACACATTAACCCAGTTTAATTGGTGAATATTTGAATCATAAAGCTTTTTTATATATTCATTTTATAAAGAAATATAAGCTGCTGAATTAGCTATTGGTTGTGGTTGGATGATATCTTTGCCCCGTAGATAATTATCGACTCATCTTGACGTCCAATTAATATTTGACATACTGAACAGGGGATGTGCTCTGTGGAAAAGGTGAGGCGCACCTGGGCATTTTGCAACAGTGGTTTGGAATTCACTGGTGGAACTGTCGGGAACTTGCTCTGCTTGTCACCTTAGTCTGTGTTATGCTTCCACTGGTCTTGTTCAGACGAGTAGGTCAGTACACTTAAATCACCCTTGGTTTAAAGATTATGGTCTGAGATGAGATTTGAGAGCACGACATGCTTTCTTGTATTTCAACTTTGAAAAGACTGGCGTAACCCTCACAACATTCTATTTCCTATGTTATATTGGCTGGTGTTTGCTAGAGCCTTTAAAGTTCAGTTCTGCAATATCTACTCTTCTAGCGGTGGCGTTCGTTGGTATATGTTCTGGGATGGCAGTAGCTGCTCTCTTCGCAGGCAAAACACATATTCCAAGACTCATTCCACACTTGGACCAGCAGATCACTTTCTTTGATCTGTTTACAGCTGTTCCCGTCATAGTCACAGCTTTTACATTTCATTTTAATGGTATATAATTATACTTAGCTTGCATTGGTGAATTTGCCCCCTTCTTCACAACATGCCTAGAAAATTTCTGATTTTAACATTTGGTTGTATTTGCAGTACATCCGATTGCTTTTGAGCTTGCAAAGCCATCTGACATGATGACAGCAGTTCGAATAGCGATAGTGCTTTGCGCAGTCATCTACTTCTCAGTTGGCCTATTTGGGTACCTCTTATTTGGGGATTCAATCAAGTCAGACATTCTTATCAATTTCGATCAGAATGCCGAGTCCACAGTCGGTTCGATGCTCAATAATGTGGTCCGGCTAAGCTATGCGTTTCACATTATGCTAGTGTTCCCTCTCCTGAATTTCTCATTGAGAACCAACATAGATGAGCTCCTCTTCCCCAAGATGTCTCAGCTAGCTACTGACAACAAGAGATTTATGGCCATCACTCTGGTGTTGCTGGTCTCCAGCTATCTTGCTGCTATAGCAATCCCAGATATTTGGTTCTTCTTTCAGTTCATGGGATCTACATCTGCGTTATGCCTCGCCTTTATTTTCCCCGGTGCTATTGCCCTGAGGTATTCTATCTCTCTTCGTTTAAGTCCAGTTTTGGTTGGGGGCGTCTACAAAGCTTTGTCTAATTTTCTTTGGTTTCAATTCAACGGCAGGGATGTCCAAGGTATATCGACAAGAGGGGACAAAATCATCGCACTGATAATGATTATCCTGGCCGCAGTGACTAGTGCGGTTGCCATTTCCACCAACGTATATAATTCCCTTCACTAGCAAGTGATAAGCTGTATATTCGATGTTTTCTCTCTTTCCTATTTACTGAAGCTTATTCACCAAAATGGAAGGGCGAAAACACGTGTTTGGTAGTTGGGGGTGGTTGTTTGGTTGTTTATGGTTTGTTGAAGAATTGAACGTACGTTCTAGAATAATTAAAATTTGAGTATTACAACCATGTAGAGTATCACACGTCGAATGTAGATCGATGTGGACCAAGCCGACTAGGACTTCAAGTTGACTAATGCCGGGGTGAAAGCGTGTAAATGATGGATCCCGTAATCTTTGAATAGTGTAATTTTGCTGTTGATCTTTTTTTCAAATGCAATTTTGCTTCTGATCTTTAGATGCAATTTTGTCTCTCATGGTCAAAATTGCATTAAAAAATTAGAATCAAAATTGTACTACTAAAAAGATTAGGGGCAAAATTGTGCCTGAAAAAAAAATTAGAGTTAAAATTGTATCTTAACTTTTAAAAATACTATGAAAACAAAAAAATACATGTTAAAAGAACAAATATGGCATCACTGTCGAAAATCATTGTTTTTTTTTTTTTTCATGTGACGTTACTAGGAACAATACCATGACATTAAACATGACCCTGGACATATGAGATTAAAAGGGTATTTAGGTAGAAACTAAATAGTTTTTCAAAAGTGATTTTACAATAAGTACAAAAAATGTTTTAAAAAGTGCTTTTTTAATCACCCAAACACTGCCTAAAACGCGAAACACTTGATGAGAGTTGCAGGCTTGCAGCACCTACAGGCAACTGCGAAACAGTTGATGAGAGTTGCAGCACCTACAGGCAGCTGCCCTTTGTGCTTACTTTTAGAGTACACATGAAGTTAGATTTTCTTGTTATGGGATCATGTGACAGTTTGGCAACTGAGAATTTGAGCCGTCGACATTGACTTCAATCCATCAGTGATTAGGCATTCGTCATGCAATGAGTTGTTCCTTGAAGCTCCTTAGTGCTCAGGTCCATGACGTTGCTGCATTCTCCTGAAGCTCTCAACATAAGAAATAGTTTCTTTTTTTCAATACAAAAAAGAAATAGTTGAATGCTGAATAAGAAACATTCAAACGCGGCAGTAGTCACCCCATATCATGATGGGCTCCATAAATTAGCTTGGCTCGGCCAGCCCACCCGCAGGGCCTTCTCTGGCTAATGCCTTCCTTTGCCCCTCTACCATTCCAAGTCTCCTTCTACTTCAGGTCAATCCAGTTCCATGCACGTCTTTAAAATACCAGCAAACAGTTGACAGAGCCCTGAGAAATATCAGAGTCAGGAAATACCTACTAAGCACTGAGCAGAGACCTAATCCTCCCCCTCTGCCATATTCTGCGAGTTGCTTCCCACGTGAAGCAGGAAACGACGAACCACCACCTCATGTTCTTTAACGTCTGCTCCACATATCTCTCTTCATCAATTCTTTTTTATTATATATATATACGTATGTATGTATGTATATAGCCTTGCCAAGAAATCCAGATTCTCTGCTTTTCTTCTTGATCTATAATTCTGTATAGTCACCCCATTTTCTGTGGACCTAAATGGCTGCCATATTCTTGAGGCGTCATTAGATCTTTGGACACTCACACACACACACACACAATGCAACGATCCATCTTAAAGTTTATGTACAGGTGACGGAATTTTATGGTAGAGACAGGACAAACTAGTATAGCTGTCCATCTTCAAAAGATTTATCCATTTGCAGAGCCTGTTCTCCTGAATGGAACACAACACATCACACACGCACTCCTGCATAGGAATGTTAGCTACCTCTAGCCCTTATAGGTAGAGAGAGAGAGATTATATAATACTGATGAAGACCTTCTCTTGATTTGTTTCATCAATAGCGAAGAACGAATTGACGACGTTATTTAATTGAAAGAACAGGAAAGGAAAGGAAAGAATTGGATTTGAATTACGCAACTAGCTATCTGTATGTAAATCAATTAATGTATATTAATCTGCATATATAATTCTGGTTCGTTTAGGACCATGAATATTGCTGTCGCAAGCACGTACATGCCGTGATGAACATAATACACCAGCCTAATTAACTTGGCTTAGACACGTTATGTTGTTTATATTATCTTTCTACACATGCCTCCCTCCACCAACAACACAAATCCTTATCACTTCACTTTATAGTTTTATTAAATTTTGTTTCCATTGTCACTTTGGCATGTGAGTGTACTTTCCAAAGTGCAGTTCATGTGACTTCTGCTTGCTTGCGACCTAGCAAACGCATTGCAGTGCAGGAATCCTAGAACATATAGCAGTCGTATACAGTAGACACTGAAATATAGAGCAGTAATCACGCATTAGCCTACCACAAGCATAAGAAAAAAAGGGTAAAGGGAGAAAATTTGTAGGAATCATCACAGAGATAACATTCCCTCTCACTTGAGTGTAAATCCCCACCCTTAATTAATGACTGATGAATTGATGCCAGTCTTAATGTTAATAAGGACCCTACAACATTATTAAGAGGCTCCTCCTTTTCAGACACTGAAATGAGCTTTAAAAGTTCAATGGGATTTTTCAGTTTTCACTCCCACTTGTATATCTTTGGACCTAACACAACATATTTTAATTTAATTTATAAATTCAGAAGGACAGACATTGCAGATACACACACACATATTTTTCAAAATTATTTGACATGTCACGAGAAACTTTTGTAAACAAACATATCAATATTCTATCTGCATGATTGGACTCTTAAAAAATTTGTGCTTTTGGTTTTACTTGTGCCCATTTGGTCACATGATCGATGATATTACGCAAACAGACAACAAAGCGCGTACAGATGTCAGAATCAATGTACATAGTTCCATCGCAGTGCCTAATTAATTATTAAATCGTACATATTAAGAGTAATCAATGGCAATAATATAACTAATTAATCCCAATCACATTAAGTAAAAGCATTCTTCCATTTATTCCCTCCCCCTCACACGCACGGCACACACACATCATATACATGGAACACGTGGGAAAGAAAGATCAAAATTCAAACAGAATCTTCTTAGCTTGCTATCTCCAACTTTTTTGCGACTAATATTCCTAAAGAAGGCCACTGTTCATCTCCTCTCGTCAAGAGAGAGCGCAACACTATTCATTCTCCAGCTGAAGCGACTTTAATTGGATGATCTTTTCGTTCGGACTTAATGAGAAAAGAATATAATAAAGCCAGGGTAACTGTCGGAACATGCATGATATAGCACAGCAGAGAAAGCCTGCTTCATTTCATTTTCATTCATTCTCAACCACAGCATGCATGCAGTTTCTCCTATAATTATATTATACTGACATATGTGCGTATAGTTCCTCCTAAAATCTTACCCATTCAGACTTCATATTGTCAACCGCCAACTCATGGGATAAGTTTAACCTATTGTTCAATTATTAAAGACTTTTACAACTCAATTATTGATTTCTGAAGCAAAATGGCACGCACATTGAAAATCAATATTATGATTTTGACTTAAATGAAACCAACAAGAATACGGTGCTTGAGTTTGCTGGGATAAACTTAGAACAAGCACCTGACGTGTCAGGACAAACTGCTTACCTGTATAATTTTGTATTTTTGCCACATTTTCACAATACTATCGAATTCATGGATGACCACTACTTGGTCACGTTCAATCAATAAATTGTTGCTGGCCTCTCGATGTTGTCAATTTTTCAATGGTGTGCCATAACATTCAGTACGTTTTCTAATGGTTTCTAATCACACATGTACTTACCTATTTCCTATAAACATGGTGTCTTTGTACGTAATTTCATTTCATCGCTTCTTGCCTTCTCCACAGACCTTGAATTAATAAGTTATTGAATGATGATTCAGAGATATTATATTTTACAAACGATAAAGATCTATATATATGGTTGCATGCAGTTAGATAGGTGAATTAAAAAGCTAGCTAGAGTATCCATATATGGCAGACACATACGCATCCAAGAAAGCATGGTAGGAGAGACGGCGAGGAGGGAAAATTATAACAGGGTCGCAAGGAAAACGTACAGCTGGGCATTACCAGAATCTAAAAGAGTGGAGAGATATATAGTTATATAGTTCAGAGGGAAGAAGTACCGTCAATGGAAAGGGGCAAGAGACAAGGAAGAGGGGCTGTGTATGGAGTTCATTGTTTTGTTGTGATGATTATTGAGCACACATGTGAAGAGAGGTGGGTACGTTATTTGTCCTTGTGGAATGCAGACAATACTGGGAGCAACAAAAAGCGCAACAGAGACGAATATCATACGATCCCTCCCATTAACATATATGCGTACATCAGTATATAGACGCGCATACATCATCTGTACGTGTGTGTGTGTGTGTAAATTGCCATTATGTATGTATATTCAATTATTCAAACCTAACGCCCCTTGTCTCTGAGCATTTGCAATCATACATTTTGATCTGCAGAAGACAGCTCGTTTGATTTATCAAAGATCCGAAGTTGTCTGGCTAGGATCGGATGTACTCGGAAATTAAAGAGAAAAATAAATGAGAGCAAATAAGGAATTCTCATGGAAGAAAGCTAAGTGACTTCTTTTTTGCATTTTCTGCAAAGTTAACTGCAGATAATACAAGATCTATTGAGCTATAACAAGAAGCTAGGAGGAAGCGGATCTGTCACTTTAGTATCAGTGGCCTTGATTGCTACGTACATATATATACAGGCGTACTCTGAATCATCATGTGAAAAGCCTATTATTATTAACTTTCTTCACGAAAGTATGATTCCGGAGCTTGAAATAAAATAGGAAAACAAAGTAAGATAAAGATGGATGAGGAATAAGGCGGGCTCTTGAAGAGATGACATGTTATTCCTAATTGCGAGGGCCTGGTATATGCGTGTAGCCAGCTAGATGTTATGCAATCATTCCATAAGAATTTCGGTGTCAAGAAGGAAAAAAGAAAGAGAGAATGAGTTAGACTGATGAGAATGATAGAATAGCACGTGTGGAGAGAGAGGGAGAAAGAGGACAAGAGAGAGAAGTGAGAGAAGAGCTAAAAAAAACCCCGTGAGGAGCGTTTGGAGGCATTCCAAATTGCACAACTAAACATCCTTTTGTTGCTTCTCCTTCACTTCTTTCGATGCCCAGTTTTCACTATCACGAGCTCATGATTCTTCATCTCTAGACATATGCCACCCTTCCACCCCACCAAAAGAAAAATCATTATTACTGTAAATTATTAATTATATATAAATATATATATACGACTACTAAACAGCTATTCCTTTGATTTGGCTATATATATATATATATATATATAACATTGGAGATTTCGATTTGCAGCAATACGACTTAGCAAATTAAAGAGAAAGAGAAAGTTAATGAAAAATGGCGAGAGGGAAACTGGCTTTTGAAATAAGAGGGGTATTTTAGTAAGTTCAGGGTAATACATGTAGTGTATCCGGGTGAAGAAGCTGACGGGAGCGTCACGTGGGAAGAAGAAATTAAACACAGGAGATCGCATAGAATTGAGAGCTTATCCCCTCTCTTTTAAAGGATCGCAGGACTGGGCAGAGTTCAAAGCAAAAAAAAGGCTTGAGATCAGATAAAAAGATCAAAGCAAGAAAGGGAGGGGGAGAGGGAGGGAGAGAATTAGAGAAAACAATATGGTTTCTAAAGAGCATAGCCACAAGAGAGCAGTGCTGCATGAGAAGCTTCAACTCCTTCGTTCTATTACTGACTCTCATGCTGTAATTCCCCTCATTACCGACCCATGTCTTCTCTTCCTTTTTGTTCATTTCACTGTAATTTCTTCCTTGTTCTCAATCAAATAAGATCATTCCCCTAAACAATGTTCAGTTAGAAAATATTATTGTTCTGTTGCCTTGCCTTTCTCTTTGTTATTCGAATCCATTTTTATTAATGGATCAATCGCAGGTTATTCCCTACTGCTTTCATTTGAACTATGTATAGTTATAACCAAATTATATTGTCGGTCCTATATTCGTTGAATTTTATATCTTTGGCTCATCATTCTATTTCTTTATCTGAACGTCATAGAAGTAGTAAAACATCGAGAGCACAGAAGAATAGCATGATATATGTTGAAATAAATTTATTGTTGGGCTTAATTCTATATTGCATGATTGACGTGTCATTAATTCATCTTGCTCCGTAGTTATCGTCAAGGTAGGATCTGTATATAGCAGATGCGCTTATATATACTTCGATAGCAAAACTAATTCTTTTTTCTTGTCCCCCCCCCCCCCCAATTGGTGGGTGGCAGCTAAACCGAACCGCGATCATAATGGATGCCTCGAAGTACATTGCAGAGCTAAAGCAGAAGGTAGAGAGACTAAATCATGACATATCCACTGCGCAGACTTCAAGTGACCAAAATCCCGAACCAAGGGTAGTTTTTCCTAATAACAAGCTATAGCCGTCTGCTAATTTGGTCAATATACATGTGTGTGTGTGTGTATCCTGAATCTGAAGGGCATATAAATCCAAAATTTGGTTAAGTGCTGTGTTTATATATTGAATGGTAAGTCTCTATATATGCAGGTGACGGTAGAAACCCTAGGAAAGGGATTCCTTGTAGATGTGTTTGCAGCGAGGAGTTGCCCGGGTCTGCTGGTATCCATATTGGAAGCCTTTGAAGGGATGGGTTTGAATGTGCTGGAAGCTAGGGTTTCTTGTACAGACACTTTCCGATTTCAAGCGGTTGGAGGAGAAGTAAGATATGGATACATGTTAAACACATATATAACCCTAATAGAAAGGGTTCAAGCATATTATTTATATGTCATGAGACGCGGAAGCTAAGAATGAATTAATGGAAGTTTTAATGCTGTGAATCGTTTGATTTGTAGGAGGAAGAAGGGTTGAATATGGATGAAGAGGCAGTCAAACAAGCAGTGGGACAGGCGATAGAGAAATGGAGAGGAAGTAGCAGTGATGAACAGTGATCATCATGCGTGCAGCCTTTAACAGACGCTTCGCCCAATATATTCTGTTGATCGATCATGAAAGAAATCAAGGCTTCGTACAGCTTGCGCTGTGCTTTTATATATATTCACTATTCAAACACGCACCCCCTCTTTCATCACATTCATGAGTACTGCAGCTGCCGTCTGGCGATACCCCTAATAATTAGACGTACTCCTTTAATTTTTTTTTTTTGGGTCGTAATATAAACTCACTAATTACACTCCTTAACCTTTAGTTATATTTCACTTTGATAAATTATAAATTTTTAACAAGACAATTTATTTGACTATATTAATATTAAGTCTATATAATTGATAGCAGAAAATATGTCTTGCTGTTTATTTTCATCAATAAGAAACTTAATTCTACAAAACCCCGTGTTTTTCATTGATTAAGATAGAAGTTAAAGTATTAAATGATTTTATTATTTGGGAGGAAATGAAGCGAGAGGGTGTTGTACAGTACAATACGATACAATATATATAGCCACATGCATGTACACGCACAGAGAGACAGACCCCAAACTGATGAAAGTGCAAAGGCAAACCATAGCTGGCAGGCTTCTTTTGTAATCACAAGTTGTGACTCGTGCGCATGATGTAAGTAGTAGTATTGCCGAATTCGGTATTAACTAAATTAATGTGGGAATCATGTTAATTAATGCTACTAAGTTTTTTAACATTACATAAGGACGTGGGAGCAGAGCATGCATGAATGAGAAGGAGAAGCAATTAGGTGGGGAGGGGGTTATGGGGATATTGAGATCCACGCAAGTTTTGTGCGGCGCTGCGTGGGCGCGCGCGTGCACACACATATATTCAGCAAATATTTACGTGAGACGTCCTTATTTCATCCATACACCCTACTTAACTGAATTTCTGTATTCTTTGTGAAGTAATGGACTCCGCCACGTTGCTGAATATTCTACCCGCCCCCTTCCCTTTCAATAATATAACAACACAAACTTAATTGACCACGACAGTAGTGCTGAGGTTCAATCAACTAATTAATTAATTATTGATTGATTATGAGCATGTACATGCAAGAAAAGACAATAAAGTAAAATAATTTGGTGATAAACATGGGGTCCCAGAGCAATAATACTAAATATCGAGCATTATTATCGTACTACTAATGTTTGGAGTTCTTTGATCCCGCCACTCCATTCAGAGAGTTATGCAATAGGGTCACCAAACCAACATCGCGGTCCATATTTCAGTTGGGCCTAACAAAGCCCATACCCAATGAGCGGCGCATTTGTATCCCGAACCGTAAACTCCTTCCCGCCTCCTCTGCTGGAACTGGTGAGTACGCACTAAGCTGCGTGTGCGAGGGCGATCCCATTCCAGATCCCTCTTCCCACAAAAACCAACCAACAACACCCCCCCCCCCCCCCCCCAAAAAAAAAAAACCCACCGGAAATTCCCGCCACTTGCAAGAAGCTTCTACGGCACGCTGGTTCCCTATAGATGCCACTTCGCCCGTGAGACCGTGCAACTGATATGGCCACGCACCAGTAACAATGGAAGCGCGCACAAGATTGCTCAAACGCAGAAAGCCCCTCTCCGATCTTACCAACACCGACTCTCACGCCCTTCCTTCTTCCCATTCCTCTTCCTCCACCGCCTCTGTCGTCAAGCCCTCCAAACGCCACCCTCCTTCTCCCTTCAGTAACCCTGCTCTCACCGAACGCAAGTCCGGTTCCCGCACTCGTTCCTCCAATAATTCCACCGGTCGCCGTCAAGTTTCTTCAAACCCTAGCGATCTTTCGCCTGTTGTTTCTACACCTTCTCGGCTGCCGCATTCTTCCTTGCTTCCTGGTATTGGAACTGTTCTTCGTTTCTCTTCTTAATTTCTGCCTTCGATTTGTCTTTAGGCGTGGTTCGAGTAGAAATGGCTTTCCATTTGTCCTCAATTTTTGGGGTCGAATTTTTCCTCCTCGCTGCGTTAAACTTCAGGTCTTTCGGAGCCTCCGTCGTCAAGTATTGCAGCAGGGTGTTCATGGGCTGGCAGAGAGTCACCACTACCCCTCCTATGAACACTCTGCGGTCATATTAACAGAAAATTTCGTGCTTAGAGGCCTTACCTAACCTCTCAGGGCCTCATGAAGATATGTATAATCGGAGCCGTCTTATTTTCTCTGTGTGCGTATGTATTACTTGGTTGAATTTTGTTGTCCTCCGCGTTGTTTCTAATTCATCACCCATTGAATATGTTAGACGCAGCTTAGTTTGATCTGAGTTACATTAACTTGTAGCTCCAACCCGATGTATTTCCCTGCTTCCACGTTATCCTAGGGGGCATTTTGAATGCTTTGGCCACTGATACCTTTTATCGTGATGATGCCGACCCTTATCAGTATCCTTAAGTCTCATCGTGATGTGAATTTGGTTTACTCGTGAATTATCACGAAAATAACTCGTGTCCGGTAGATCTATTGGATGAGTCATCATTTGCCTTTCCTCATATAACATAACTGTATAATTTCGGAGGTAATCTTTTGACAGTTAACATTTAAAATATATTCCCTCTCATATATTCGCACCGCAGTAATTAATCAACTATTTGTTGTTTGAATCCGATGGGCTTGCCTTTCCTGTCTTCAATTGTGTCTGAATTCTTATGTGGATTAATTTTTTTCACTCAAGTAATGCTTTGTTTGAGTTAAATAATGCTGCAACTTTTTTTTTTTTGGGTGATACTCTTGTATTCAAAAGATATTTGTTCATTGGGCTTTTTACATGCTTTGAGTAAAGGTAGCCATGATCATGATGTTTCGGAGCCTATCTCTGTGGTCTACAGTCGAAGAAATGCATCAGAAAAAAGTAAAGGGAAAGAGAAGGCAGTTGCTGTTCCTTTCAGCAGTACACCCATGCCAAAGGCCTCCAGCAGCAGGTTAGTATGCTTTCGGTAGCGTGGCTGGCAGGGATTTGATATCATGGCTTAATTCAATAATGATAAAGACTAATAATAGAAAAGGATAACAGTTGGTTGAAATTCAGGGAATCATGGAAGTGAAAGTTACATGCTAATTACACGACAGTAAGGATATTGAGATTTCCCATTTCCTAACCACACAATTATTTCTCTAATTCATTCCGATGAGCATCATTGCAGATTGTCAGTACTAGGCGTGTGCTTATTGGTTAAACTCTTGGATTTCGCTTCTGTCTTGTTTGTATAGAATATGTGAAGCTATAATGAAGAAGTTTCTGATCCACAATTAGTCAATTTTTGTCTCACCTCCTTTTTCCTTGTCTAATAGAATATCAGTTTTGTACCATCAGAAATCATGTCCTTCATTTTTAATTGTGATATCTCTACCGTTGTTGGATAAACACCAAAACATCGTTGGTTTAAATTGAGGGAATTAAGTTGACTGTCACTGTCTCCTTCCTAAAAAGCTTATAATATAGTTATCAGTCATATGCTTTCTCCATCATGCTTAACAGGAAGCAAAACCTTGAGATTGAAGTTGTGAATCGTCATAAAGCCAAGGCATTAACAGCTCCTTGTAGAAAGGTAATTAAATTGATTTTTGCATTGATGTGTTTTTGTGGTTCTATGCTACACTTTAACTCTTCTGAATTTGCAGATGTTAATTTGATTATCAAGCAAGGGCTTGATCACTTCTGAAATTTTTCCATGTTGAAATTGTTGCATTAAAATTTCATGAATTTTGAAAGGGTCTAGGTAGTGTTTTCATTGAAAGCACTTAAATTAGTTTAACCCTTTTTTACGGTGGAGATTGGTCAAATTTTCATTTGTGACGAGGATAACAATAATTTTGTTGGGTAATTGACAAGAATAATAATAATCAATTCGTCCTTCGTTGACCTAGTAAAATGTTTGAACTAGATGACGGCAGGGAGGAGAACGTCATTTTGCTGTGATCATGGGCTTGATGTTGGCATGTTCCGATGGGGGGGGTTCCCTTTTTCTTTTTTCACAGAGCTTATAACCTCTCTGTAAAATTTTGTTCTAAAAAGCATGCTCAGATTGTCTCACTGGACAATAGACTGTGCATGGTTCAGATTTCTTAATGTCGAGTCCGACCATATCTGAATTGGTATTTCGCTAAAGGGTGTAATGTATATCTTCCAATTTTACAGAAGCGTTGCACTACGGCTTCTAAACAAGATGTGTTCCAGCATGCCATGCCACAAGATTTTATTGAAAAACAGCAAGCCTACTTTAAAGAGATTGATGACTTTGAACTCCCAGTGGAGGAGGTTGAATCTGCTGATGAGCTCGATTGAGTGGAAGAGATGTAATATAAACGAAGCCAGTTTGAATGTTTAGGTCGGTTGTATAGTTCGGATATTATAGTTTTCAGAATGATGTGACGACCGGTTCTCTAACCTAATATAGAAATGGAAGTTTTACGTGATTTTTGTAGTAGTCTGCTTTGTAAAATCAGAGCTGAAATTCAGAAATTTTGACGCATACATTTGTTTCAGATAGCCTTTTGGAAGTTTTAACTTTCGCTAAATTATTCTAGTGTGACTGTATTCCTGCAATTGATGAATTTGCAGTCGTGAGTGCTTGTTCTAATTTACGCGTATAATTCATCAGAAACTTGTGCAAAGAAATCTAAGATGTTGTAGGTGCATAGCCGGATAACAAGTTAAGAAAGCTCATCTGGCTGGATAGTGATGTTAAGAGAGCTTATCTTATTACGTCCGGTGCCGCTGTGTGTAGTGATGATCACAGCTTGCGGGTTCCGGTAATCACGTGTAAACAGGAACGACTAGCAGCATGACAGAGTACGAATCGAGCATATACACGTAAATACAAGCTTAGGTATTAACAAACTGGGTCTCCCTATAGTGGAAGGCACAATCAAACTACTGACATAATAGCGGACAGAAATTAAAGATGGGTGACTGAACAGATGTGCGGGGTGGATTTTAATTGGCTTTTCTGCAATTGACTCTGATCTGGCCCTTGGTTCCGGTGAGGGGCTTGATTTTGCTCATTCTGATCATGGACTTCGCGAAGTCCTTGAAGAAGGCATCACTGTCGGAAGCGTATTTGTGGACCAAATTGTCGGTGGAAGAACTGCCGTTGAAGAGCTCCTGGTCGGAGTGGAGAAGAGCCTTCTTCATGAGCAGGTGCTTGAAATAGAGATTGTCAAAATGGGTGGGAGTCTGGAAGTCGAGGGGTGCCAGCACATTATCATTCCCCCTCCTGGGGCACTTGCTCTGCAGCGACCTGGCAAAGGAGGCTTCAATGTTGGAGTCGTTGTAGATGTGCGCTCGGAATTGCACGCATCGGGCCAGCCCAATAGTGTGCGCACCTGTATGTGCTCAGCCACAACATACAAAGCATATAAGCTGCGCAATTTTGATTTGGGACGCAAGATTCAAGAAAGCGGTAGCACCTGATAGAACCACCAAGTCCTTCACAGAGAGGCCGTGCCCGGCGAAGTTGGATTTAAGAGCGGTCAGACTGAGGAAGGGGGCGGGAATGGAGTTGTTGGCGGCGAGTCTGCTGGCGGTGGTTGAGTCTCTTCGTCCCAAGGGCACCTCCCAGGAAGGCCCCCCCAACTGCCACAAGTGAAGCAGTTAAGCACACACATTGTGATGTGAATATATATATGAATGAAAGAAGGGGCATACATACATGAACGACGGAGTCACGAGCAGCGAGGGCAAGGATGTCAGCACAGGAGACCACTCGGGGACATGCCTTCTCCACCTCGGCCTTGATGGCATCAATGACGTTGAATCCTCTCGCTGAATTGTTGTTTGCAGCCGCCGTCTTCTCCCCTATCATGTTGCCAGTGTCGTCCAGCAGTATGGATGCATCACACCCCTGTTGCTTGCTTCATCATTAATCATATCACACAGCTAATAATCACACACACACACACATTCTCACGTACGTTGACAAAGCAGTCGTGGAAATGCAGGCGAAGCAGGGAGGCTCCCATGCGAGCTTCATTCTGGATGGCTTTGGCGACGCCCTTCTTCACTATGGGCGCCAATTTGGGGCAGCTGCACGAGTAGAACTCCTCACTCAGCTCTGCGGCGCCCGCTTGGGTGACCAGAGCCAGTGCCAGCAGCGACAGGTAGTAGCAACAAGCCATGGATTTAGCTTCCTTTGATACGCTGAACCTCCCCCGGTTTCTGCTTATATAATCACAACGTTGGACCCTGCCTTGTTATATTTTTAACTGATTGTGTTAATCCCAACCCATTGCTTTTACGTCATTGGGAAAAATGTGTTTGTCTTTTCACGATAAAGCCAACATCATGGCGGTATATGCTACGTTGAATTTTCTGCACGTCCCCATTAATTATTCTGCATTCTTTTTCTGGCCATAATTACCCTCCAATTCAAAATATATGCTTCCCTTCCTTGCTTTATCCTGGCCACGTGAATGTATCTCAAAATCGATGAGTTTGTTTATAAATTTTAATTCCGGAAAGAAGCTAAGGACTAAGAAGGGAGGGGTACAATTATTGAGCGATGGCAATTGACAGTGTGACGGGTGGTGTGGCTTTTACCGGGCATGGACCCCTCGGATGAAAGGGATCCCCGCTCGGATTGGATTGGAGGCTATTTGGATTTGGATTACAGATAATACGATTTTGGGGTGAATCAGGAACATATACATTTGCGTGAAATATGCACAAACAAGAACATGCCAAAAATTATAGCGCCTTTATTAGACGCCTCGCTCTTCTCGCTGCTGGCTCCCCAAAGCTCGGTCCCCATCCGATCCATTCTGGTTCCTGTTAATTATTTATTAATTACCGAACAGGGAAAGACGAAAGGGATTGAGAGTGAGAAACTTGCATTACGATTAAACTGCCAGAGTATAATGAGATGCTCGTGCATGATTCCTTGTATTCTCATAATCTTCCAGTGTAATATATATACATAAGTTTTAAACAATAATGTCATCGCTTTTAAATGGTATCAAGAAAATCATGTAAACGTTCACATAACTTATAAGCAGCATCTCTCGCGTCAGTAGGGTGCTAAAGATTTACATGGGTATCATGCTCTGGCTAACAGATATAAATAATTAATGGCAAGGCTATAAGATAAGAAAGCCTGAGCGAGTTATTTCCCTTCATTTAAAAAAGCCAAAAATTTTGGAAGTATAAAATTAATCGATTTTACAAATTTATAAAATTATCTGTTAAAATATGAGTTGTGAAGTGATTTTTAAATAATACCATGCTCGGTCTTTAATATAAGAACTGGTTAGAAATTTAATTTAATTTTAAATTGTTTCCAAATAATCTCATGATCATTACAGATATTAAATAACTTTTATAATAAACACGAGAGGAACTGTGAAGGTTAGAGACGGGGGAGGCATTTCATTTGCGTGATAATGTTTGGACGGTCCGAAGATCCTTCGGGAAGGCAGAGAGGGGGCGGGTCCGTTAGCATTAAAGACAAAAACTGTTAGACCACGGATTTTGACATTATTATTTGCATTGTTTATTTAATTAGCACTATTCTTTAGGAAGGAAGCACGGTATTATTATGATTATCTCCTCACTGATTCGTCTCGGCCGTGGGCCCCACAGCGTAGGATAAAAAGTATAAAGCGACTGCTACTCCACCGTGGGTCTCCCACATTCACATCGGGTTATCCATAGTTGCTTGGTAATACGAGTGATAAATTTTCCATTTTTGTTCATTTTGTTTTTTTTTTTTTTGACCACAAGTTCATTTTGTTTTTTTAAATCAACATGACATTGAAAAGAAACCAACCGTTTGAACGCCATTAGCGACCGCGTAACTAAGCGACCGGACGGAATTTTTTTTTTAAGGACTCTTTATCTGTAACGACCGAATGTGAACTATCAAAATAAGGAACTACTAAGAGACATTTTTTCTGGCATAAAGTACCAGGAGACATTTGAAAATGACTCACATGGGACTTTTTAAAAGTGACGACGTGCTAACGAGAAAGAACGAATGGCCTCGAATTTAAAATCCGACAATTGAAGATTAAAGTATTTGACTGCTTTTTTTTTTTTGAAAAAAAGTTATAAATCTAAATACTCCCATTACAAGGCGATTTCCTTAAATTAAGGTTTGAAATAATTAATCACTGATATTTCCCTGCCGGTGCACAAATAGCATGATGATTTGGCAAACCCTGTCTCCGCCTAGCTATTTGGGCCAGACAGTGGGCCGGGTCAAATTGTACCCGCCCATTATACAGCCACAGGTGATGGTATTTGGAGGATTGGGTAGCAAAGTGATGACAGCTGCCTCCAGAGGGGCATGTGCATATGGGGTCACGTCATGTCCGGCGTTGAGACGTCAATTTTGGCAACATTGCTTCTCTCTGGACATTTCGCGCCCTATTCCCCACCCTGTCCCTCCCACTTCCTTCGTATTCCTTCTTCCCCTTATTTGCACCTCAAAACACATCATGTGCGAATCTGCTCCGTTTTCTAAAACCCCAATCATTCGGCTCCCATTCAACCCCCCTCCAAAAAAAAATAATAATAATAATTTATCACTACTTAACCTTATACACACAAAAATTTAGTTAAACATATATTGTTTAACTAATTAAGTTTGTTTAGAATAGCAGTAAAAATCTCCTATAAGCACATCTCACTAAGTTGAGACAAAACTCCTCTCACATGCTTGTCTCGTATTCTGTAAATTACTATTAAAAAATTACTTATAAACTACTTATAAATTATTCTGAATAGGCCCTAAACTTACGCTACTGCTCAAAATCTCTGGTTCAATTTACACCGAAGCACGCCTACTGTTCAGATTTGACTCTAATTCAATGGTTGGCACCTCTTCATAATAAGTTCAATTCCTAATTTCTCTGACGTGGGTTTATTAAATCTTAAAACTTTAACGAGAAGTCGAGAAGTGTTTCAAAAATAAAAGAGTCACCTCATAATTCAAACGGTTCAGCACAGTGACTTGCATGATCTGTCCAACAAAATCATCTGACGTGGCAAGCGACCTATGATAATGTATACTAAAGTAAACGAGGAAAGCATGCATGGATCTCATGTCGCGATTAATTAGGTCTTGAGAAGTTAATTTGAAAATGATGATTAGTTTTGAAAGCAATTATTCACAACTAGTGCTCTCTTATTGGAGAGAGTCTAATTTGTTACTACCTCCGGTTTTAATTATAAGAGCCAGTTGACTAATTTGAGGAGATTAAAAAAGTATGTTGAATTAGTTATTTGTCCTAAATAGGTGTTATCTTTCCTAAAATATCCTTACTGATCAAGTGTATTGACTAGAACTATCATTGTTAGAAGGACTACTTTAGAAAAAAAAAAGTATAAATATGAGAGACAAAGTGGATTAGGGTCTTATATTTAGGATCAAAATAAAAGTCAAATAGGATCTTATACTCCTCCGGTCCTTATTATAAGACCCAATTTGAATTTTTATTTGGTCCTAATTATAAGACCCAATCCATTTTCTCTTTTATATTTATGCATTTTTTTCCAAGATAATCCTTCTAATAATGATAGTTTTAGCTAATATACTTAATTAGCAAGGATATTTTAGGAATAACAACACTTATTTATTATAAATAACCAACTTAACTTACTTCCTTAATCTCCTCAAATAAATCAATTGGGTCTTATAATTAGGATCGGAGGAGTATTAAAGACAAGAGGTAGTATGATTTTTGTGGGGGCAAATTGTCAATGTCTCACCGTGTAATCACCGTAATGTATGTAAGCTTATCCGTACACGATCCTCCCAGTATCGCGGTGTCTTTTTACTTTAGAGTTGGAATGACGTCATCTAACGAACCCTGCCTTGGGCTTTTTTTTTTTTTGGCCCATGCTCCCATTCCCCCATTACCATTCCACCTGGTTGATACGTGGTCTTTAACATCAAGTATCAATTATTTAAATTTAATATAGACAATTTATAATTTTATTTTTTTAAAAATGTTTTTCTTGAATACGATGATAATTCAAAATAAATGAAATAATTTAAAATTTTAAAATCTAAACCATTAAAACTATATCTGAAAGGTGATGAATATAAAGATACTTATCACCATGATAAACGCCATTCCCTTGCAATCAGACACACAGATACAATCTATCATTAATCATGTCGGAGCCTTCAGCAATTAACGACGGGCACAAAAGTCGCATATGTGTGCGTGTGTGAACTGAGATAACAATTCGTCATGGCATTTATATATATAATGATCCAATCCACTTGCATTATTCTCCTAATCAGTAAGCGGATGATAGAACCCGAATACTCCTGGCCTAGTGGTGACTGGCTAGGCCACAAGTGAGGCGAGTCTCTGCTCTTTGAGGGTGGGGGTTCGAATCCTCACTTGTTAAAAAGGGTACCGGGGAAGGCTTTACTTATCGTCCGGCCCGAATCCGGACTAGTCGATCGCTTGGGTACAACTGGCCCAAAGAGGCTGGGGCCCAAAAAAGACGCGGTTGGATACCGGATGGTTTATACAAAAAAAAAAAAGTAAACGGAGGATAGCGGTGGAGCGTGCGAAGCGTTCATGGAATCATTCCCTCATACTTGTTTGCTTTCTTTTGCCTGCTTCGTCACCCAACACCACAACTTCGTAACGTACCCCACCCCACACATCTCCCTAATGACATATTCACAAACACATACAGGCAAAAAAAATATTTATTATCTGCTCAACAACCACTCACGCTGTACTGTGACCCGCATATCACGTTACAAATAAAAAAAAGTACGCTTCGCTTTTTACCAGGTTTAGCTTTCGCTTTTATTATCATCGCTAATCCAAAAATTTAGATTCAACGTTATTTCAAGAGAAATTTATTTATTTATATTTTACACACCGAACAGCCCGATATTTTGTGAAATAGAAAAGAAAATAATTTAAGAAGATCACGAGCCTTTCGCCCTGGAGCCGAAGAAACATCAATAACTTCCCAGACGGATCTATCTCACTTATTTGGGCCCGTTTATGTTGGTAGCCCTGCTCTTGGTAGGCTTTGAACCCTTATAAGCCCAGATTCTCATTTCTCACGAGTCATTGTGTCCGGAAGAGCCCAATACGGCTACTGCATCAGCATCACCACGGTCATTGGGTTAGACTTGAGCAAGAATGACAATAGGATACTCACTACCTACTGGGACAAA